TATTCTTCTTTCTCTGTTAACATCGTGTTCTAATGGCTAGGTTTTTCGCTTTAGGATTGGAGGTCGGGAGAACTTCTTCTACTGCAAGAAATGTGATATGTAAAAGCTCTGTATCTATACTTTTATATGGGGTTACTTTTAAAAGTAATCAGTTTTCGTTTGCAAATGTGACTTTGTTATTATTTTTGTTTCTTCATGTGATGAAGCAGAATGAATCTCAATCATCATCTTAACAACTCTTTAATGTTCATTAGATTGATACTGCTTTTGGTAATCACACAAGCTCATGTTATTCAGTTAGTTTGCGCAACAAGCACCTTTGCGTGGAGACCTCTATGAAACATCACTGCCCAATTTGTTACGAGGTTTCCCCCTTTGCTTATTTTCACTTTATCCATCCGTTCCTAAAAATTTTACTCTTAGATGTCCAAACACTCTGTATTTTTCTCATTTACAGTATTTGTTTTGACTCTCTAAAGTATACAACCGTCGTGAAGTGCGGTCACACAATGCATTGTGAATGTTGTTATGAGCTGATAAAGCGTGAGAAGTAATGAGCTAATATGAATCTCGCAAAACTTTTTTCAGCAAAGAGGGAAATGAAAATATTTTTTGTATTTTTTTCCTTTTTAACTACTGTTGTCTCCGAATATACAGCTACTGTTGCCCAATATGTTTCAAGTCGAGCATGGACATGATGGGGACCTGGAAAAGTAGATGAGGAGGTAACACGCTATTGGTTTGGACTTTATACTTATGTTGTAAAAGGAATTCCACATTTTTTGACTGCAAGTGGTGAAATAAGACCTTCATGAGGATGTGAATTTTGAGTCTTTGTATTATTATTACTCGCCTGTGATGCAGGATCTTGATGTGCAAATCCAGGAGCTTCATTTTCAATCCCTATGTATTTGGGATTTGAAAGTGTTCGTGAAAGGCCATTTTCCTTGCAACTTCAACAATTCAAAGTATTTAGCTACATAGACCACACTGTAAAAGATAAAGAGGCGAGTAAGTGGCAGTTTGAAATATTTCTAATTCTTTTCATATTTATTGGAAAAATAGTGCTGGCTCTTGACAAGGTTTTACTCCAATGACATACTTTTTTTGATGTTACATTTGATCATTGGTTTGTATTATAGTTAACTCAGGTTGGGTTTGTATGCTAGAGCAAATGCTTTGGTATGATGTTACATGACTTTTATTTATATGGTGCCTTTGGGTTCAATTTCTGGACTGTCTTAATGTATTTTTCTGGACGTCCGTGTTAGTGTTGCTTAGTTCAATTGTCATTGTTGTTGAGTGGTTGGATTAAAGATCACTAATAATTACAAAATTGTAGTTTCGGCTGCCTAATAAGGTTGTTTGGCTCTTTAGGAAGCTACAACATTATGCAAAATTGTAATCAAACAAAGATATGTGCATCATAACCATCTATAAACTGAGCCCAATTTTGGAACACAATTTGTAAAATCTTGACATTTCCAAATTGTGCCATCTCTTGGAACAAAATTGGGGTCGGCTGTGCTGTGCACAGCCGGAATCACACTAGTTATTATATGTAACAAAGTTATATTTACCACGAAAAAGCAAAGATCTTTAAACAGTTTCCTATCAAGAATATTTGAAAATGTTTTGAAAGTATAACACCTGGCGATTAATTAATTTTATATAAAAAAAAGAAAAAAAAAAAAACTAAAACTATGAATGGTCAAAAGGTTAGTGGTGGTTGGTCGGGTAATTCCACTCTCAATTTTGACAAAGGGTGAGTTTTTTTATACACTTCAAATTTGCTAAAATTCATTATCCTTTTATAATAGTCATAAGACTCATAACTGAACTTATTAAAAGGAAAAAGAAAAAAAGAAAAAAAAAAACATCCATCAAAATATTGACTTTGACAGAAACTGGGGAAAAATTGGTGTTGACCCACTACCATGAAGGACACCATGAAAGAAGGGAAAAATTCATATGAAACTCAAATGGGGTTTCATCCCAAAACCAATTGGTGGAAGGAGGAGTAGCCCATTTGTCTTATAAGGTGGGTCTATTTTCCATATATGAACGATATGAGACAACTCACAAGTGATATTCTAACACGCCCCCTCACTTGTGAGTCCTTCGAAAGGTTGGGCTGGGTACCCCAAGCCCTACTACAAACAGGCTCCCATAAACGGGTACGTGGGGGATAAACAATGGGTACTTCGAAAGGTTGGGCTGGGTGCCCCAAGCCCTACTACAAACAGGCTCCCATAAACGGGTACGTGGGGGATAAACAATGGGTACGTCATCACACGGTCCAAGATAGAACCGGCTCTGATACCATGACAGAAACTGGGAAAAATTGGTGCTGACCCACTACCATGAAGGACACCATGAAAGAAGGGAAAAATCCATATGAAGCCCAAATGGGGTTCCATCCCAAAACCAATTGGTGGAAGGAGGAGTAGCCCATTAGTCTTATAAGGTGGGTCTATTTTCCATATATGAACGATGTAGGACAACTCACAAATGATATTCTAACAGACTTCTTAACCTACCACATAAAATCTTGTTTACTTATATGAATACTATAGTGACGTGTCACGAAAACAGATCTTATTTTGTATGTATGACTAGAGATGCCAACCTTTAAGACAAGAACTCCTCAGTCTTGATAATATTTTGAGCTTCTTGTGATGCAATGGGCTCAGGCCCAATGATATGGAAAACAAACCAAAAAATGAAAAAGATTAGTAGTAGGCCCATGGGCTATGAAGTATAAATTAATAAAAACATTATAAACATTTATCCATTTCTGTCTTTTAATTTACGTGAAAACGTAAAGAGAAGTAAATGGTGAAAATTAAGACAATTTACTATATACTAAACTCAGAAACTAATTAAGGTTGATTAGATATTGGTATTTCAGTTTTATTTGATTAGTCAAGATTTATTGGAACTTCAGTATATAACAACTAAGATTTTGTTTGTTAGCCAGGATAAAAAATGAGACTATGCTATTTAACTAGGTGAAAGCTTCCGTTTGTTAACTATGATTGTGGCCCACCAGACTATGATTGTAAGAGCCATGGAATCTTCTTGGATTTTTATTCTTTTTTTAATTTTAAGCATTTGGATAGATTTTGCACATGGATATTAATCTTATAAATCATGTAACCATAAGTCACCGGATCCTTTGTTTCATCATATAATCATCTTCAAATTGGCGAGATTTGTCCAAAAAAAAGAAAATGATTCAGCCCACGTTTTACTTTCAACGCCTTAATTCCATTGAATTGTTCATATTCTAGTGATAAATTAAATGGTCATATTGTTTCTTCAGACTGGAATTGGGTACTTGTGTTGATAAGCTCACACCTAGACATGGCCACGGGTCAACCGGTCCGTCGACTCGAAACGGACCCGGCCCGGTTAAACCCGTTGACCACGGGTCCGGGCCCGTCTTAAATTTTTAACCGAGCCGGTTCAGGGTCTTCTTTTTGTCGAAACTGGCCCGCCGGGCCGGGTCGTGTCGGGCACGAAAAAATCAAGTCATTTCTGATTTTTTATTTTTTTTTATATGGGCGGGTCCAGACCCGGGCCAGATCCGGCCTAGGTTCATGCCAGTTCAGGGTCGTGATAACCCAACCCTCCGGCCCGCCATTTGGTTATGTCTACTCACACCGATATTTACCGATAAATTTTAATCACTTATGGATCTCTTATTACATGGGCCTATTGTATATTTTCGACTGGGCTCGATTGTTTTTTATGATATTGTAAACGTCAGGGGTGGCTATTCATATAAGGGGAATAGAAAAAAAATAATAATAATGATATATCGGGGACACATGGACGGATATAACTAGTTAACTAGGCGGTCAAAATAGATACCTGTATTTTAATTCTTGTTCGGTAAGTCCAGATTCATTCAATTGAAATTGT